CCACCTTCCTCACTGAACCCACACGCACACCCATTCTTTCCTACCAGACACTCCCTTCCCACTCACCAGCATTCTACACCACCCCAGCTCACACTCCTATCAACAAACTGTCGTTCTGTAGTGAATAAGTGTACAGAGCTTACTATTGTTGCTGAAGAGTGGCAGCCTGACATAATCTGCCTAACTGAAATCTGGCTCGACCCGAATATTGCACTTAATATTACGCGTTATGACACCTTCCGGAGGGACAGGCCCCCTGCAGAGAATAAGTCCGGGACAAGTGCAAGAGGTTATGGTGGTGTCGCTATCCTTGTTCGACAGAATAAGTTTAAGTCTGTTGCCATGCGTCTCGATCTAGCTCGCGATGGGTGCGAAGCCGTTTGGGTTCAACTGCAGCCGTATCCGGCTGCAGCTGAGCCGATCCTCCTCTGCTGCAGTTATCGTCCACCTTCTGCTAAGCCAACAGATATAGCAAGGTACTGCCAGACTCTCGAAGACGTACTCATTACTCTTCCTCTTTCATCTTCTCACGTTATCTTGACAGGTGATTTTAACAGCAAGCACACGTCATGGTGTTCGACAGATTCCACCAATACTGCCGGTGCTGAATTGTATCGCACGCTCAGTCCATTTGGTCTTCACAAACTCGTCAACACATGTACATACACGTCACCCTCTGGTGTCCAAGCCTGCTTGGATTTGGTGTTTAGTAACCGTGCCAATCTCTCGTCTTGCGTCGAAACTGACTGCCCTCTGGGCGCCTCAGACCATGCCATTGTGTACTGCCAGTTCGACATCCCCCTGCCTCAGTCTCCCCGCGAAACAACGTCTCAAGCTCAGGAGCCTAACCCTATGTCTTTCGATCTCCGACACGTCACACCTGCTGTGTGGGAGGCGGTCAATGCAGACTTAGACTCAGTACCTTGGAACTCATTAATATCCTCAGACGTGGACAGTGCACGTAGTAACCTGCACTGGCAGTGTCCTGCAGACTGTGCTGTCCAAGTATGTTCCCCTTCATAGCTCCCGCAAACCAAATCGAACTCCCTCAACCCCAGGGTCTACGCGCAAATATCATCCATGGGTTTCCACTGAACTATGCAAGGCTATCAAGTTGAAGCGTGACCTATTCAGCCTCTCCAAAAAATTCCCTACGGACTACAACCTATCAGCATATAAGGCACAGCGGAACCAGGTGAGACATCTCTCCCGCTGGTGCCACCGCCAGTACATTCGTTCAATCAAAACAACACTTACCTCAGGCAGCACTACGCTTCACCAGTTTGTCCGCAGTCAGCGATCGCACAAAGTAAAACCTGGCATCCCTGACATTGAAAGCCCTGATGGGCTGCTGGTGTCTGACAGCTTCCAAAAAGCAACCATCCTCAACAAGCAGTTTACCTCTGTCGCAGTGCCTGATGACCCACGTTTAGTAATACCCCCTCTCTAATATGACACTCGTCTTACTCGCCAATTCACCCGCGTTCATATCACTTCAGCAGATGTTCGTAAAGCCATCTCAAACCTGAAATCTGGGAAAGCGCCAGGGCTAGACGGTATCACGAACAATATGATAAAGAAGCTAGCTCCTGCGATTTCTTTTCCACTTAGCCGCCTATTTAAGTTAACCTCTCCTTTACCACAGGCAAGTTCCCTACTGACTGGAAACTGGCTAAAATTGTGCCTATTTACAAGTGCAAAGGCAGCAAATCTCAAGCTAGTAACTATCGCCCAATTTCCCTCCTATCCTGTATTTCCAAACTTTGTGAACGGCTCTTCTTCAATCAATTATATAATCATATTTCTCGTGCTCTGGATCCCGCGCAATCTGGGTTTCGTCGTGGTGACTCGACCGTTCTACAGCTCACCAAGCTGATCCAAAACATTGCCGACCATCGCCATATGGGGCGGAAAGTTGCCATGTGCTTTTTCGACCTCGAGAAAGCTTTCGACACCGTGTGGCACCGTGCATTACTTGCTAAAATCTCCAAAGTTTTTGGTGTGTGTGACTCAGAGCTTGAGTGGATTACAGACTACCTATCCGACAGAACGCAAGTTGTCTTTGTAGGTGGACTTCTCTCAGATGCTTCACCTGTTCTGTCCGGAGTGCCCCAGGGATCCATCCTAGGGCCCCTCCTTTTCCTAGTGTATATAAATGATCTTCCCAGTCATGTTGAAGGTGTGTCCTTATTTGCTGACGATACTGCACTGCTCCGGTTCAATGAGGGTCTAGACAGGCTGCGAGACAGTCTCCAGCGCGGTATCAACGAAGTCCATCAGTGGATGACTACCTGGAGACTAAGACCTAATATCGGCAAGACTGAGATATTATTCCTGCCGAACTCAGAGCCAACCTATGCATTCACTCTTCCCGGATCCCTCTCAGACCTCACAGTGGTAAAACAACACAAACATCTTGGTTTGGTCATTGACTCAGACTTATCGTTTAGTAGACATGTCGACTATATCTGTAGCAAAGTCAGTAAAGCTGTTGGCCACCTCGTGTCTCACTGCTCCCACCTACCGCTTGAATGCATTCGCCTTTTTTATCATTGCTATATTCTCCCCATTTTTCTCTATTGCTCAACCGCCTGGTCATCCCTACTAAGCAAATCGTTAATGAGTACCCTGGAAGTCCACAATAAGAGGATACTCAAAGTCCTTTTCCGCAAACCATCATACTTTCCTTCTGCCGAGCTGTATGATATGTTTAACACCTTCCCTATCTCTAGTCAAGCGGATCGAAAACTGTGTATTGTTGTTCATTCTATTCATCTCGACAAAGCCCCGCCACACTTGCGTAAATATAACTGGTTTCTTCCCACTCGTCCTACGCGCAATCCCTGCACTTTACCTAAAGCCCGAACCTCAGCTTATACCAGATCTCCGTTTTTCGCTGCCTATTCTCTCTGGCTGGCCCTGCCTCTATCAGTAAAATCGTCTTGTACGCTAAAGGATTTCAAGGCCAACATGAAGCTCGTGTTCTAATAACTGCTAATTCTTCATCCAGATTTGGTTCTCTTTGCCTCCAGTAATTTGTAATATTTATTCCCGTAGCTATGCAGAAGACCTTACTTCAGTAACGTCTGGCGCTAGCCAGGGTCCACACAGCTTTAATTCCCGTAGCTATGCAGAAGACGTTACTTCAGTAACGTCTGGCGCTAGCCAGGGTCCACACAGCTTTAATTTGGTGTTTGTTTGTTTGTTTGTTTGTTTGTGTCACGCCTGGCGCTATCCTGTATCTGTCCCGTACCGTACCGTACCAACAAAGACAGGTGGCCACAATATGTTTGTTTGTTTGTGCCATCGGCATGCCTGGCGCTATCCCGTACCTGTCCCGTACCATCAAGTGTACGGTACCATCAAGAGAATGAGTATATTATGCGAAGTGTATCGGGGAATGCATTCAGCGCAGTAACATTTTGTGTGGATTTGTGTGCGAGGCCGAGATCCCACTAGCAGGCTGGCTGGGCCGCCTGTCGAACAGCCCGGGAATCGCATGTAGGCCGATAGCATAATAATTATAACGTGTATACAGTCATGTAGATGTATAGCAGGGAGTCATATTATGTAAACGACTCCCTGCTGTATGGGGAGATTTTCTGGAAAGAAATACGAAGTAGGGAGACGAGTAAATGCAATTAGAATGGATGTTAGTTGCCGACAGTATAATAATAAGAATAAGACGAACGCCCGTGATCGGCAGAGTCAGCGCCGGTCCCAGGAAACGGCACGACAGACATCCCGTCGACTCCAGAACGCCCGTGATCGGCAGAGTCAGCGCCGGTCCCATAGCTATGCAGAAGACGTTACTTCAGTAACTCATTGAAACGTTTTTGCAATACAATGATGTAGCTAATCAAAGGAAAAAAACTTTTCCATCAGTTCTAACAACATGCACGATGAGCTAGGCAACAAAGCATAGCGCAGGGCCCTGAGCTTCCAAGCTCTCTCGTTTGGTATTTGTGTGTTTGTGTGTTTGTTTGTTTGTTTGTGTCACGCCTGGTGCTATCCGTATCTGACGGCAAAAAAGCATAGGATGTTATAAATTTTTCGATTTTTCCTATTTTATTCCCAGGCAAATCCTGGGATTCGAACCCACACTATCGTCCTACATGCATTCCCCCATACACTTAGCATTCATACCCATTCTTCCAAGTTGCTTCACGTTATTATCTTGCGTTTGAAAGCCCTATTAACATTGCGGGCAGCTGTATGTGGCCAGCTGTGTTTGATGGTACGGTACGGTACGGGAGACGGTGTAGTATTACCCTCGATCGTACCTGTCCCGTACCTATCCACTACCGTACCGTGCCATCAAAGACGGCTGGCCACTATGCATATTCAAATAGGGCTTTCAAATGCAAGATCACAATGTGAAACAACTTGGAAGAATTAGTATGTATGCGAAGTGTATCGGGGGATGCATGCAGGGCGCGCGATAGTGCGGGTTCGAATCCCAGGTTATGTCTTAAAAAAAAGGATTTTTTTAAAGAATTTATAACATCCCTATGCTTTTTTTGTCTAGGTCATCAAGGCAAAAAAGCATAGCGTAGGGCCCTGAGCTTCCAAGCTCTCTCGTTTATTTTTGCTTTGTTTTTGTTTACTGCCATGGCTGGCTACCGCCCCTTCCCTCCATATTGGCCTATATTCTCTGGCCACGGGAAGGTGAAATAAATAAATAAATAAATAAATTTTGGACTTGCTATGACACATTTGTATGTGTATGATTTCCATGCAACAAACATGCGTGCAAGATGGTCATTGACCTCGTCTATTTTCCGTACCGTATGCACCACAGTCCACTTCACTCTCATTTCCGCCAAAGTAGGAGTTTGACCTGTTTGTATGTAAACGCAGCCATATGTGTGACCATACACAAGTGGTTTCGCTGGAGAGACATCAGGCTCGCTGCCGCAGAACCTCGCCGCCAAAGCGGAACTCCAGTGCATGTGTGACCGGGCTCTTGAGCCAACGAACTGTTCCATGGGTGATGTGTGTAGATGCATGATTGCATAGAATGACTGTGCATATTCTTTATCGATTCGGATTAAAATTTGTCTCCTTGTCGCCAAACTGTTCATTGTACTTCCTATGTATGCTTCTGCAAATCCCGATAGGTGCAAAGAAACAAACAACAGCAGTTTCAACACAAGATACACGAATTGCACTGCCTCAAACGATAGAAAACGAAATCAAAATGAAGCAAACATATTCATAAGAATAGACAGGCTAAAAACTAAACACCGTTGAAGGTTTTGAGATTCTGCGAGAGTGGTGCGAAATTGAAATAAAGTGAATAGCTTTTAGAAATGGAACAAAACCGATTGTGTATATTATCTTTTTTTTCTAATGAAACTACAGTACTTAGTATGTTTGCAGGTGTGAGACTATGAGCAGACATGGTGCACTCACATGATACAAGCAAAACTAAGAATATGCTGTGTAGACTATCAGACGGAGTGTGGTTACAGTGTATAGGCTACTGTGCATGGATTATGCGGTGACGTGCCACTACTGTGCATGGATTATGCGGTGACGTGCCACTACTGTGCATAGACTGATACACTCTGGAGAGTGCTGTGGGTGGCAGAGTGGACTGTGACATTGCTCCGAAAATATTCAAACGTTTGAGAGATGGCTTACAGGGCAATGCCCGGGTGTGTCTAGCTCCATGATAGCATTTTCTGAGCAGAATTGGTCACAACCTGTAGGGAAAAGGAGAAGGCCGATTACACTGTGATAGAAATAGTAATGTGAAACTGAACACAATACAGTACAACTTGAGTATACATGAAACTTAACTGCAAGGGCATACAAATCTGTACATTATGTCCAAGGTACTGTACAACATTACCTGAGAACAAATGACTCCTATAGCATTATGCACCAGCAACAAAATAGTACTTTATACCCAATACCATCGTATATCCATGCAGTGCTCTATGATCATACTAAAGTTTTAATGTGTATGTAGAACTGAATGTCAGGTTTGATATTTACACTTTTGTTTGACACACTATAGCATCCATATTCATCACATACTCTTTCTAGCTCATCATGGATGTTATGAGAACTGATGGAAATGTTTTTTTTCCATTGGTTGGTTATAGTGTTTTACGTCGACCATGACGGCTACAATGCCCAACCATACTACAATGAACTGATCGGCTACATCATTGTATTGCAAAAAAATTCCATCTGTTCGAATAACATGCATGATGAGCTAGGCAAAAAAGCATACCGTAGGGCCCTGAGTGAAAGAAATAAACGTTCTTTTTGCATTCGAGGGTAATACGACACTGTCTACCACCTCGATGACCTAGGCAAAAAACGCATAGGGATGTTATAAATTTTTCATTTCTCCTATTTTTTCAAGACATAACCTAGGATTCGAACATGCACTTTCGCCCTGCATGCATTCCCCCGATACACTTCGCATACATACTCATTCTTCCAAGTTGCTTCACGTTATGATCTTGCATTTGAAAGCCCTATTTGAATATTGTGGTCAGCTGTCTTTGATAGTACGGTACGGTATGGGACAGGTACGGGATAGCGCCAGGCATGCCGATTGCACAAACAAACAAACACCAAATTAAAGCTGTGTGGACCCTGGCTAGCGCCTGACGTTACTGAAGTAACGTCTTTTGCATAGCTACGGGAATAAAGAATATTCGTTCGTTCCTTCGTTAGCATCAGGAACGTTCGATTACTGATAAATTGTGTTCGTTTCATCGCAAGACTATTCAACCATACTGCTATACAGTTACACATGCAGCACAATCTTTGGTGCTTCTGTCAACATTTGAGCGGCTCTTTTTCCATCAGTTTTCCGATCAAGAGTGAATTTTGGGACTGTGAACATGTGGTCTCTTCATGTTGGCAGCAGCACTGCAATTAACTTACGACTTGAAGATCCGATAATGCCTGGAGGATGCTCCCATATGTGCTGAGGACCTCTTGTTTCATCCGAGTAACGAGCTTTGCATTGCTTGAATTGCGCCTAATGCCTGAAAATACAGCAAGCATGAAAGATGAACAAAATGTAAGATGGAACTGGAGTGTCGGAAACCTGACACAAATATCAGTTTATGCTGAGCATTAACTGTAGTTAACAGTCACGTAACACCCTCTCAGCTGGCTCTCTTGCATGGGGTCCACGTTGCACTTGTTCCTTACCCATACCACAGCTGATACGCTGGCCTTGTCACTGTCTGTGCATGCGACCACGTGCACATGTTGCAAACACAACCGGGGGCTGCGCGCCCTTCACTGACGTCGGCTTAGCATGGCAGCTGGCTCACTAAACTGCCTGTGCATACCGATTCTCCTTTCAAGCATTTGTTGTTCCACGCTTGCTTGCTGCTCTGGCTCGCTGTTTTCTCACAAACTAGCTCTCTGCCAGAATTTTCCTCTCTGCCAGGATTTTTTTTCCGCGGCAAGCTCTCGTTCGTTGGAACGGACTTTTCGGGCCAGAAAGCCGCCCTTGTTCTTCAAATCCTATCCTGAGTCCACAAGAGTAATCCTGCAATCGTCAGCGGAAGCGAACTTTCTCGCTCTCAAACATCGACAGCCTGAATGGACACTTCAGGCCGGAAAACTGTCCTCATAGGACTCTCCTGCTGAGAATGGAGAACGCCACACCGCGGCAGACTGATGGCTTTGGAAGCGGCGGACGTGAGCCGTGTGGATGATGGCGCTGCTCTCGGCATGAGCCCGCTTCACACCATGATCCGCTCACATTGCTCAAGAAAGAGCGCGAGGGTGTTCACGATCTTCTCACGTAAATCGAGACATTCACAATGCTTGCCGATAGTGACCAGTATGGCACACATAGATCTGTCGGAGCTGTTGGCCCTATCAAGGAATGGTCGCCCATTCGACTCGCCAATTCAGGTCGGCAGGCATGCTGGACTCTAACTGCTAGTTCATCACGGCTCTGCGACAAGCCGAGTCGGTCTACCCCGCGACAAGGGGACCTGCACACTCGGGCCTACCCTGAGTCACTTGAGATCCTTCTCGACAGTGGAGGGAAATGTTTGTCCTTAGCAGACCACGGCCTACACGCCATACACACGTCTGTCGTATCTAGTCCTTGCTAGTTTCTCAACTTTATCAAGGCTTTGCTATAGATGTGATTGATAATAATAATAATAATAGAAGTGTGTGGGTTACAGTGAGGGCTGCGTCCCACCCGCCTGTGTGGATTCACAGGAAGTGTGAGTTACGAAGTCTGAAGAAAATGTTGAACGGCCTCTGCTGGGATGACGACTACACCATAGCTCAGTGGTTAGAGCATCGCTGGCTACAAGCGAGGGTCCCTGGTTCGAGTCCTGGTGGTGACAGTCAATTTTTTCTTCAGACTTTTCCCGTTTGTCTCTTTCCCTCAAACCAGTCAATAATAATAATAATAATAATAATTTTAGAATTGCGATCAACAGAACGAGCTGAACCGACATTTTCACAAAGGCTTTTATTGTATTCAAAAAACGAGTGTATACGAAGGCAGTGAAGAACATGGAAGAAAGAAAAAATGTGATATGGAAGAAATGATGAACAAAAAAGTTTTTTGAATACAATAAAAGCCTTTGTGAAAATGTCGGTTCAGCTCGTTCTGTTGATCGCAATTCTAAAACTATTGTCGCCTCGACGCCTATTTAAATACTAATAATAATAATAATAGTAGAAAGGAAAAGGACATAATATATTATGGAAACGAGTTAAGAGTAACTCTCCACCACTGTAACTAGATACTATATACAGTCAGAAAGTGCAACAACTAGGCACAAAACTGACAGAGTACTGAGACATTCGACGTCCTGACACCTAGCTTCAACACATCTCCGTAACTTTTATTATTGGCTCAATACCCGAGTTTCAAATAATAATAATAATAATAATGTTGAACGGTCTCTGCTGGGATGACGACTACACCATAGCTCAGTGGTTAGAGCATCGTTGGCTACAAGCGAGGGTCCCTGGTTCGAGTCCTGGTGGTGACAGTCAATTTTTCTTCAGACTTTTCCCGTTTGTCTCTTTCCCTCAAACCAGTTCATATTTTATGACTTGGGGCTCCCCGCGTGCTAGTTTGTACGTGAAGTGTGTGGGTTACAGTGAGGGCTGCGTCCCACCCGCCTGTGTGGATTTACAGGAAGTGTGAGTTACGAAGTCTGAAGAAAACGTTGAACGGTCTCTGCTGGGATGACGATTACACCATAGCTCAGTGGTTAGAGCATCGTTGGCTACAAGCGAGGGTCCCTGGTTCGAGTCCTGGTGGTGACAGTCAATTTTTCTTCAGACTTTTCCCGTTTGTCTCTTTCCCTCAAACCAGTTAAAATAATAATAATAATAATATTAACTGGTTTGAGGGAAAGAGACAAACAGGAAAAGTCTGAAGAAAAAATTGACTGTCACCACCAGGACAAAATAATAATAATAATAATAATCCACACAATTCAGTAGACACTTTTTCTATCAAACGTTTTCTTTCCCTTCTCTTCAGGATAGTACAGGGAATGTTGGAAATTAGAAAAACACATAACTATATAGAGAATGAAAGAAAGAAAAAGTCAACACTTCAACATAGGTGTTAAAAATGATTAAAGTGTTAAAAACTCAAAAACAAACAGCTGCAAGTTGTAGACAAACACGTTGAACACATCAGGGAACACTTGTCACACTTTCACGAGGTGTGACACCAAACAACTGCAACGATAACACATTCTCCTTCTGTACACATAGTTCTGGATCTAGTTTACGAATATACAGAGCTTCTAACACAGCAAGATGTAACTTAGACCTTCCACGAGTCAAAATCGAAAAGATATCATCACTATACAACTTACGACAACTAGCACTGCCCGACAAATGACGCTTGATGGACGATGTCCGATCACTTAGCTCTGTCACCTTCGACGCCTGCCGTTGTTCTCTTCCGTTAGGCTTGTTTGGTTGGTTGCTCCGGTCCACACCTCCAACGTCCGTTGATTTCATGTCCGTTTTTGTTGATTTCATGGCCGTTTTCGTGTCACTTCTTGGTCTTCCTCGTTTCCTCTTGTTGATCGTTGTTGTCACTTCCATTATCGACGTATTCAGATCCCCAGTACTCCGTCTCTTCACCTCGTGAAAGTGTGACAAGTGTTCCCTGATGTGTTCAACGTGTTTGTCTACAACTTGCAGCTGTTTGTTTTTGAGTTTTAACACTTTCATCATTTTTAACACCTATGTTGAAGTGTTGACTTTTTCTTTCTTTCATTCTCTATATAGTTATGTGTTTTTCTAATTTCCAACATTCCCTGTACTATCCTGAAGAGAAGGGAAAGAAAACGTTTGATAGAAAAAGTGTCTACTGAATTGTGTGGATTTGCGTCGTTGCATGCGAATACGTATTACGAAACTGTTTTTCCCACCGCCTCCAAACTACTGTTTGAATAATAATAATAATAATATTACCACAGCACCCGTACAAAGGCCAAAGAACAATGCATGAGAATACACTGAAATTAAGCCAAGTCCGCTTCTGTCTCCAGTCAACAAAAAACTCATCCATAAACAATGTCTGATCTCCATTTCGACTTGTCTGCAGCAAATGCTCGTGCTCCTTCTAGGTCGCTGGCATTCTTCAAAGGGATGTCGTGCCCTGCCAGGTCCTTCATGATGGTGGTAGGGAGAGTAGCCGCGGGACGGCCCCTTCGTCCACGTGACCCCGCTTGAAAATAGCAGGACATCGCTAGGCAAGCGGGTGACTGCTCACTCATCCTCAGCACATGGCCAGTGAGGCTACGGCGTCGCTTGTCAACAAGCTCCGACAGTGGCTGCGAGCCACATCTGGAATACAGATCATCATTCGTAATTCTGTCTGGATATCGCACTCCCACCAGGTTTCTGAGCTGTCGGCGGTGAAAACAGTCCAGTCGCCGAAAGACTGCCTGGGGTACTCCCCAAGTCTCACAGTTGTAAAGGAGGACAGGCAGCACAAGCGAGCTGTACAGCTTGAGCCTGGACCTTTCTGACACATGCTTGCGCCCCAGCCAGAGGCTGCACATACTACCGTATGCCTGGGATGCCAGCGAAATCCGCCTGTCGATATCCTCAGCGCTCCCCATAAGAGAGCCAAGCTGCCTGATGCTCCGCCAGGATGAATCGCCTGACGTAAAGTGCACCCATCCCGTTTTTTGCTCATTTACTTTTAGGTTCCAAGACTGCAGTGTCGAGGATATGACGGGTAGTAATTCCTCGAGCCAAGGTTTACTGGTAGAGTAGAACGTTATGTCATCAGCGTACCCGGTTTCTGGAGGGATGCCTCCATCAGTTATAGGTCGCTGTGGGAGTCTTGGGTGACATTCTTGCAGGGCGGCTTCAAGGTAACAGACGAAAAGCACGGGACTTAGATTGTTCCCCTGGGGCGTGCCGATGGTGGTCTGGAATGCCTTGGAAGTGGAGCTGCACATACGAACAGATATGCTGGTGCCACACAGAAGATGCTGTATCATGTGGACTTCATCGCGGCCAAGGAACGAACTCATAACATCCAGGAGCTTGGCTCTGTTGATGGTGTCAAATGCCTTTGACATGTCTAGACATGTATCTGGTAAGGAACGGAGAAATTCTGACACTGTTGTTGATATCCGTGCCAGTATCACGAGTGAGAATACTTTCCTTATTGTATTGAGTAGGACTATCGGTCTCAAACTCGTGAGTGGTCCGCGGGGTTTGTTTGGTTTGGCCAACGGGATTAGGACGCCTGGGCCGACGACGCTCGAGAAGTCTAGGCCTCGGGTGATGCTGGTATTCAGGAGATCTGCAACTATAGGACCGGTATATTCTGCGCCATATTTCAGCAGCTCTCCATGTACCAGGTCCTCTCCACAGGCCTTTTGGTTCTTCAACCGCTGAAGGGCTCGGCTCACCTCAGCAATGGCCACGGGAACCTCCAGCTTATGGGGCGTTGGGCGTTCGACTGTTGATATCAGCGCAGAATAGAACTGCTGTCGAAAGTGCGCCGCGATTA